CCAAAAATAGTTTAAAGACAATTTACATTTGTAACAAATTTTTGATGAAAAAATAAATGCCGTATGAGCAATGAATTCAATAAATTAACCACTCGGAAAGCCAAAAATTTTTTTTCAAAATTGCTCTTGTATTAACTGCATATTAAACAAAGAAATTACTGTACGTGTAGGGAGTGTCATGATTAGTTACTTTTATATTTCTAATCGAATATCACACGTGTTACTTCACTGTTTCTTATTTTAAATCATTTTGATAGGAAGATAGAAAGTATTGTTTAATTATAAAAACTTTCGAAGAATTTCAATTTGGCTTTTGTCTTACGCATCATTAATAAATTCTAAAAATATTTTTTTTGGCCGAATGACGATTAATATACAATTAAAATAAATTTCACATAAATATATAACAAATCCAATTGGAATTCTACAAATTATTATAGTTGTGTAGTAATGTATGAAACCAACTAATAACTGCTCAGATAAAAGATAGTCAGTAATTTCCTTAAATTGACCATAAATAGACTTCATTAGTGATGCGAAGCCTTGCTTGCCTAATATTTAAACTCTCTCAACTGCTCTACTTTCAAAATCAGAATGAAACAAAATAGTCTTGTTTTAGTCTATGTTAATAAGAAATTTGAATTCTCAGATATGATAAAGAATGTAAAAGAAGACTACGCTTTCGAACATTTTGTGAAAAAGCTTTGCCCAAATGTTTGTAATTTTGATGAGTTTAATATGCTGAGTAAGGACAACAGCATTCAATACTCTTTGAATATTACAAGCGAGACTTTTTTGAATTCTGAATACAACTTCGCGAAGAATTTAAGGACAAACATGACTTACAACAATATCAACATCTTATTCATCATGGTTAAGAATTATGAGCATATATCCTATCTGGAGGAGCTTTTGGGTGATGTTACTATCACCATCGATCCGATCAATGATTTATTATTTAGATACCAATCGGATAACATTCAAGAATTTACGACCATCCTTCGAAGATGTAATCCACGAAATATTCTCAACATTTGCTAAAAGGACAGAATTGTTACCATTTACAATAAAGATCATTACGAACAACCTCCTCTTAATGTAAAGAAAATCAAGCATCAAAAGACAAAAGCAAAAAGCAAGGTTCAAAAAAGGAAGGCTAGTAAGAAGGTTAATTGTACAAAAATCGTAAGAATTCTGGAGGGAATGGGCTCCAAAAAAGATCCATACATAATCGATTAAAAGAATTGTTATTTTTAAAAGTATTTAAATCAGATCTTTTTCATTAAAATTAACTTATTTGGACCTTTCAAATAATAACTTTGATGCT